CAACCGGTGTTGTCGTTTTGAAACGGGGGGGGGGGGGGGTCACCTAAAAGTGGGGGTTTGCTAATCTGTTGCTAAATGGCAGATCCTCCAGTGCTGCAGTAGTGTAAACACAGCAGCGGGAATCCTCGGTAACATCATTGAGCAAATGGGAACATAGGTGTAGATACCTGAATTTGACCTGGTATCTGCCCCTTGCAGTGTCTGCACAACAGAACTCAGACTGAGAGACAATGAAGCAGCACAAAGAGCTTGTCAATTGTGCTTCAGTGCAATGAGCCCTCTGATAGGAGAAGAAAGCAGAGGGACAGGCAGATGAGCTTTTTATTCTGCTGCTTCTCTTTCCACTGTCCATGAACAGGGTGGGGGAGGAGACCTGTTAGGAAAAGTGAAAGTGCAGCAGAGGAGGTTTAGGTCCCTTCCCCTGTGTTGTGTGGCAGAGCTGTGTAAATTTCAGGATTGGATGGGTAGAAATACAGCCCCTATATGTATGTTTTCTGTGTATTTCGCTGTTTGTCTGGAGTTCAGCAATTATATTCATTAAAACTGTAACATACTCTGGGGTCTCACATAGAGATGGAGTCAGACTTTTCAATGGCTTGGGTATGACCCTCCTGAGCCTCTGGGGTGTATTGAGCTATTTTGCTTGAACTCTTTTTGAATGACGACAATCTCACGTTTGTGGTAATAATATTGTTTGTTGACTTGTTTTACATTTGTGTTTAATGTTGGTAATTCTCCTTCCAGAACAACATCCGGAAAACAAAAGAATACATCAACTGCCACTGGATGTTCAACAATGGCCTCCTGGATCTGCAGCGCTGGATAATGGAGACCCGGCAGGAGCTGGAATCCTACCTGGATGGCAGCAGAGACTGGGGGGAGAGGGAGGTGGAGGTACTGGTCCATACTATGACATGGCAGCAGAGACTGGGGGGGTGAGAGAGGTGGAGGTACTAGTCCATACTATGACATGGCAGCAGAGACTGGGGGGGAGAGGGAGGTGGAGGTACTGGTCCATACTATGACATGGCAGCAGAGACTGGGGGGGAGAGGGAGGTGGAGGTACCAGTATACACTCTGGGATGACAGCACAGACTTGGGGGTCGAGGAGGAACCAGTCCTTACTATGGAATAGCAGCAGAGACTGGGGGAATCTCATTGTTATGTATATGGGCAACATTACTCTTTTCTTCCCCCACCTACTCTCTATCTCTGTCTCCTTTTTCTATTTCTCTCTTTTTTTCTTCTTCTCGCTCACTCCTCTCCTTCCTCCCAATGTCTCCTCACTCTCCCTCCACCACACCATATATTATACTGTTATTAGGCATTCTGCCTTCCTGTGCCGGTCTCAGCCACTATCTCCGCATTTCTTTCAGGCATTATTGGTTGAGGTTTCGGAGAAGGATATACAGCGCCATCAGGTGGAGGCTCAGGGTCAGCTGGTGATTGAAAGCTCGTCCCCAGAGGGGGCCGCTGTCATCCACACTGAGCTAAACCAGCTTATGGAGTCCTGGGAGTCACTCAGACATCTCTGCGAGCAGTTATCCAGGTGAGTGCCGCCATTTAGGCACCCCTACCCCCGCTATTGTGATCTGGCTTTTGTTTGTTTGTTTCATGCAGTGCCTAACAATCCTAGTTCTTGTAGTGCCTGATGCCGCTATGAGACGCAGTGCCTCATACATCTCTGTACGTAGGGCCTCATGCCTCTATTGTACTAATGCCATATGCTTCTGTATTAACTGCTGTGCCACATACCTCTGCATTACACACAGTGCCTTATATCTCTACACTGCACCCAATGCCTCATTCCTTTCACTTATACACAGTGCCTCATACTTCTCACAATCTCTGATACTTCTCACAGTGCCTCATACTTCTCACAGTGCCTCATACTTCTCACAGTGCCTCATACTTCCCACGGTGCCTCATACTTCTCACGGTGCCTCATACTTCTCACAGTGCCTCAAACTTCCCACGGTGCCTCATACTTCCCACGGTGCCTCATACTTCTCACGGTGCCTCATACTTCTCACAGTGCCTCAAACTTCCCACGGTGCCTCATACTTCCCACAGTCCCTCATACTTCTCACAGTGCCTCATCCTTCTCACGGTCCCTCATACTTCTCACGGTGCCTCATACTTCCCACGGTGCCTCATACTTCTCACGGTGCCTCATACTTCTTAGAGTGCTTCATACTTCTCACAGTGCCTCATACTTCTCACGGTGCCTCATACTTCCCACGGTGCCTCATACTTCTCACGGTGCCTCATACTTCCTAGGGTGCTTCATACTTCTCACAATGCTTCATACTTCTCACAGTGCCTCATACTTCCCACGGTGCCTCATACTTCTCACAGTGCCTCATACTTCCCACGGTGCCTCATACTTCCCACGGTGCCTCATACTTCCCACGGTGCCTCATACTTCTCACGGTGCCTCATACTTCCCACGGTGCCTCATACTTCTCACGGTGCCTCATACTTCCCACGGTGCCTCATACTTCCCACGGTGCCTCATACTTCCCACGGTGCCTCATACTTCCCACGGTGCCTCATACTCCTCACGGTGCCTCATACTTCCCACGGTGCCTCATACTTCCCACGGTGCCTCATACTTCTCACAGTGCCTCATACTTCCCACGGTGCCTCATACTTCCCACGGTGCCTCATACCTCTCTACATTTTTGTGTTACACAGTGCTATTACAGGCTAGACTTCACTCATATCTGCCTTTGTACATCTCTATTACATAGGGGATGGAGAGATTAGTAGTTTACATAAAATAATAACATTGCTTTGGGCCAGTTCAGCTCTCAGGAAGTGACAAGATCAAAAATTGTATCTTCTGTACTTGCTGAAAATGTACTGAAAATAAAGAAAAGGAATGCAGCCACTATATCTGAGGACTGCTAAGCTGTTATGGTGCATCTTTGTTTCTTGAGTTTGTTATCCTTTCATTGTGCAGTCAGTCAATATATGGCCATGTTTGGACAAATAGCCGGGTTTATATAAGGTGAGGGGGGACTCACTAGAGTTAGAATATGACGTGTATGGGTAACCAATCAGAATTCATTGTTTGTTGTAAACTGAAGTTTTACTGTTTTTTTGCGGTTGCTGCACCCCACCCCATCAAATAAACCTCCTGCTGCAGGTTTTCCATTATGGTTATTCCACATACATCAATTCTGCTACCTAAGAGGACCTGTCTGCAGGGTGAGAGGCAGTGATGGGTCTAGTTGAGAAGGAATGTCAGTGACAGACAGGGAGCACACAGGGGTGTGTTACATGCCTTGCCAATGTTTAAAAGTCAGAAGATTTACTTTAAAGCTCTATTTATTTGTAACAATGTAACCGACACTTCTCACAGATCCCTGAAAGAGCGTGCGAGCCAGAGGAGGAGCCCGGCAACCGTCATTGCAAACCCGACATCTAAGTAAGTTCATCTGCTTTTTAAAAGGGACAGACCGGTTAGAACTGACGTCTTTGACTTCGATAAATGGCAAATGTTCCAAGTCACCCACCAGTGTCAGGTCTCTCTGTGTCAGGTCTGCTCATGTCAGGTCCCCCGGTGTCAGGTCTGCTCATGTGAGGCCCCCCGGTGTCAGGTCTGCTCATGTCAGGTCCCCCGGTGTCAGGTCTGCTCATGTCAGGTCCCCAGGTGTCAGGTCTGCTCATGTCAGGTCTCTCGGTGTCAGGTCCCCCGGTATCAGGTCCCCCGGTGTCAGGTCTGCTCATGTCAGGTCCCCGATGTCAGGTCTCTCTGTGTCAGTTCCCCCGGTGTCAGGTCCCCGATGTCAGGTCTCTCTGTGTCAGTTCCCCCGGTGTCAGGTCCCCCGGTGTCAGGTCCCCCGGTGTCAGGTCTCCCGGTAGAGAAGGTCCAGCCTTATGCTGTGTTGCTCAAGGACAGTCTCAGTCTATGAACGGGTTCAAAGCCTGAGAAGATCTAATCACTCACATAAACAATAAAACCGCAAACTCCATAACAAATGTTTACTCTACAGACACAGAAAATGTAATTACAGGTGATACAAAGTGTCATTTTATTGGCTTATAACCTGTAACCCATCTATAAATTGTTTCCATATAAGTTACTCATTGATGATTCCCTGGGAGTCCTGCAATTCCCCTCTCTCATTCTGCCGAACCGAAGGTCTGCTGTACGGGCTATGGAGCTGTACGTGCTATGGAGCTGTACGTGCTATGGAGCTGTACGTGCTATGGAGCTGTACGTGCTATGGAGCTGTACGGGCTATTATTATTATTATACAGGATTTATATAGTGCCAACAGTTTGCGCAGCGCTTTACAATATAAGGAAGACATTACAATCACAATACAATTCATGACAAGATGGTAAGGAGAGCCCTGCCCCTGAGGACTTACAATCTATTACATGCGGCCTGGCTTCCTGATTGGCCGGGAAGCCGACTCTATGCTCGCTCGTCACCAAGTGACCAGGGAGCATGGAGCCGGTGTTCTGTCGAAAGTTCCAACTCGTCGAGATCTCCAACAACCTGACTTCCGGTTTAGTTAGAAGTAAGAGGTTTGGCCGAGAAAGGTGTCAAAGCGGCGGCCATATTAAGTGGGGCAACTCAGATTAATAACGTGCTGGATTAGTCTGACCCTGGTTCATTTTAATACTTTATTGCTGTGTAGTATGTGTATAGGGAAATGCCGCTGGTGGCGCACGTGCAGGAGAGCCTTTTGGGCCAAACCTCTTACTTCTAAATAAACCGGAAGTCAGGTCGCTGGAGATCTCGAGGAGTTGGAGTTTGACAGAACACTGGCTTCCTCGCCAATCGGGAAGATGTGCGGCATGCAATGACTCGCCGCCCAGCTTCATAAAATAGCGGAAGTTATGGTATCGAGATAAGCATCGGCAGCATACTAGTATCGGTATCCGTGCATGCCTACTTTAAACATCATGGGCAGTAGTAAAACTAGATTCATTCATAAAGTGTATCCGGAAAATACCACGTAATGGCCACTAGATGGAGTTGAGGATCACAGGAAATAAATACATCTGCGTAACAAGGGAGACAATGTAGCAATTCCAAAGAACGCTGGCGGGAAATAGCAGATAAATGTAACCATCGCAACTACTGCCCATAACATTTGAAGACCATTCGGGCAGAAGAAAAAAAAATAGCCTAAGAACATTTGATTTTGCGCCACAGCTGGTTTACTCTCACAAAATAAATGTACACACAGTTTCGTTGGACAAATACGGAGCTATGCAAATTTTATAAAATTAATATAAATTAATTAAAATGAATGAATACACATGTACATTGTATAAATAGACTCGTAAGGGTTAGGCCTGTAGATGTCAATTCACCTTTTCTTTCTATTATTCCTCATTGATATTATGTTGTAGAACTCTGCGCAAACTGCTGGAACTATATAAATCCTGAATAATAATAATTAATATGGAGGAAACTTTTCAGATTTGTTTACTGTTTGATGTCTATTTATTAACAGCAAGCAGGACGTCCTCCAAATCAGCGTACAATACGATGACAGTCATAACGGTCATACGGGAGGACATCATGGAGGCTTCTCGGGGTGTGTAATAAGTTTATTATTTTACAAGTTATGTTGCATCTGTTAGTAGGGATGCACCGATACTAGTATCACTATCGGTACAGATGCCGAGTATTTGGGCGAGTACTCACCCAAATGCTCCGATACCAAGCCTGATACCTGAGCTTCCTGTATCAGGAAGCCGGGCAGTGCGTCATTACACGCTTCCCAGCTTCCCAATTGGCCGGGAAGCCGGCTCCATGCTCTCTCGTCACAAGTGACGAGAGAGCATGG